TTTATTTAAATTAGTATACTCGCGAAATTTTTAGATAATATCATTATATGAAAAACTCTCCAAATGGTCTATTGATTGAATTAAAATTAATTTTCTAAATAAATCATAATGCTGTATATTAATTTAAACTACGATTAAAATAACAATTACTAAACGAAAACCTAATTGAATATTATTTGTTATCAGTTAATGAATAGAAAACATTAAACTAATTCAATCGCATATTTATTTCAAAGAATGCAAATATTTAAGCTGCGGTTTCAAAGTTTTTATATAAGAATATGAAATGGGAACAGACAGACATATTTAATAAATATAAACATAAAAATAAAGTTTACGAAACACTATTTGTGTAACTGTCATTATGATGACATGACAGATGTCACAATCAGTTTGACAGCTGGGAGTCCGTTTAAATCGTACGGAAAGAAAAAGATATATATTTTAAATATATATTTATAAACAATTACACATTTTTTTATATTTAAATACTGTATAAATATAGTAACTTCATAGAAAATACATTATTTATTTTATTATTACTTCTTTAAAATATATTCAAATTATAGTTTTAATAAATATTGTTTAATTGTTATATATTATATGTAGGTAATTTAAAAATACTAAACAAATAATGATGTAATACCGTCACGTATTCTTTAAAATAACTAAATGTACCGATTTAAACTCAGTTTTGGCGTTAAAATGATTTACATTGAGTCTTGTCTTTGAAATTTATGAATGTTTCCCCCTAAAATAACCGGCCACTATAATATAAACTCTCCAGTCATTAAGAACTCACTTATCAAGAGATCTTCAGTTCTGGTTGGGGCTAAATGTTTTTTTTTTTCGCCCGTAAATCGTTTACGAAGGTCGTTATGGTTCAAGATTCTATTCTAAGTTACATTTTAAGCCATTTTCACTGTAATTAGACGGTGAAATACTATCTTTAATCCAGTGTGGATCAATTATGTAATAAGGAAGGGTTGAATTTCGTTTATTTTTAAAAAAGATCGCTAGGATAGTTCATATTTTTAAAATTAAGAGGATTTTCCTTTTAGGATATATAATATTTCGAGACTGTTATCATTATTATGTTTTCTAAAGGTTTTAATGTTTGATAATTGTTTCCTTCTAAGATAAGGTAAGTTTTCAAAGGTGAGATTCTAAACCACGACATCCTACTAATATTATAATTGCGAAAGTTTGTGAGCGTGTGTGTATGTTTGTTACTTCTTCACGCTCAAACGGCTGAACCGATTTTGATAAAATTTTGTATACAGGAAGCTGACGTCCAGGAATAAAATATAGGCTACTTTATATCCCGGAAATCCGCGGGTAACACCGCGGGGCGCAGCTAGTATTATATATAAATATGTAATGAAAATAATTTAAATTACATTTTGTAAAAGTTTTTCAAACTCAAATGAATACATTATTCTTCAAAAGGTTATTTTGAAAGGTTTTAATGATAAAACCATTCAAATAATGACGTTTTATCCTTATCACTCATTGATTTTCACTCATATCAATTTTCTTCACTCAATTTAGATTAGTTTACTATTATTAAATTAAATTTTCGTGAATAACTCGAGTTCACACGTCTTAATTTTATTTTTTACACGACGTTTTAATTATTCTGCAATTATCTACATATATTCATAAGATGAATTAAAAATCACTTTAAAAATATTAGCTTGACATAAGAGAGGCACAATGAAAAATACATATTTTATATGTTTTAAAAATATATATTCAAATAGTATCATTAAAAATAAACATCAATAGATCTAAGGTTTGTTTAGATTTAACTTTTGTAATTCGATTCGGTGACATCAAAGGGTTTATGTTGTCTATTCCCGGACGCCATATAATATGTCATAATATGGCGCGAAATAATTAAAACATCGGCCATGGTTTTTAATATGTCAATATTTTTAATATATACATTTTGTTATATGTATATATATATATATATATATATATATACAGGGTGACTGGTGAATTACTATCAATATTTAAGGAGAATACTCGGTACATGATTCTCATTCGAATTATGTAAAAAAAATAGGCACTTAATTTTTGACAAAATTTCCGTATAAATAAGTAAAGTGTTGACACGTTCCAAGTGTTTAAGTGTGGACGCGTGCGGCGGCGTGCTGATACAACACTACGTCACGACACGCGTATGTGTGAGTGTCAGTGTATACCTAATCTGTAGGGTGTTCACACGATGCGTAATTAATTACATAACTTTTGGTTAACTTTACTTAGAAGTTTATTAATATTTATGTTATATTAATTTTTATTTTGTCATATATGATCGTCAAATATCACGTCCTCAAATATCGATAGTAATTCACCAGTCACCCTGTATAATAAAAAATCAATCTTAATCTCAATATATATATATATATATATATATATATATATATATATATATATATATATATATATATATATATATATATATATATATATATATGTTTAATATGTCAACTTTATATTAATTCTTTGTGAATCGTATCACATTGAGAAAAGCTTGGCTTATATATTTTATCCTGAAATATAGAAAAAGATTGCACTTAATCTATTGTGAAATATTATCTTTATCTATTCATTAAAATAATGGTTGATTCTTTATAAGTTTAAAGTTCTAATGACGTAGCTTCTAAAATAACTCAATATATTTCGATCTAAATACATTAAAAATTCTCAGCATTACCAAAACAGTTAATAATTTTATATAAAAAAATAATTATTATAATGAAAGTTCCATATTACTCAAGTATGTTATTAGAGATAGCATAATGTTTATTTATTTAAACACAATGAAAAGTGTTAAATAATATGTTTTAGTATAAAAACTATTTCCTACATTCATTTCTGTTTTAGTTTCATAAATATTTCGTACTACTGACGCCATCTATCGCGTAAGAAACCAAACATCTATAGACACGATTTATTTGCTACATTAGTTTTCTCCTTTACTCACAATAACGATTATACTCAAAACTTAACACTCCAAGCAGTTTTGCTACTTACTTTTTTTAAAAATGTAGACATTAAAATTAAAAAGGTTCTAATATTATAAAATTCATAAAATTTTCAATGTCTTATTCATAATAAGGCCGTAATCAACAGTTTTGTTAACAGAGCCATCTATGATGTTTATACTGAACTGTTTAGACATAAGTTTCGTTCAAAAAGACAAATTCATATATACAAAAGTATATGTAGTCATATATCTTTACATAATTTTGTTAATTATTTCTTATAATTCTATAAATTCTTTTCTCACGCAAACACGAAGTAAATTTGGCTCGTTCATTTATACGTAGGTATATGTAGTCATATATCTTTACATAGTTTTGTTTTTTTCTTATATAGTCTATAAATTCTTTTCTCACGCAAACACGAAGTAAATTTGGCTCGTTTAAAGTAACTTAATGCTTATCAAAAAATCGCTTGCAATATCATGTTGTTAAGATAAGGACAAAATCGATTATGTCAGAATAATGTATGATGACAGGCTTGATGTATAACATTTTTTTGAGAATGTCTCGCATTTTGTAATGATTAAGAAATGTGTATATAAATATGCAAATTGTTTTTTTTTTTATCTTAATGAATACAGATTATATTTTGTAACAATTGGATAGGAATAAGAATTGGTTGTCAAAAAGATATTTTTATGTTGTGTTTAACGAAATATGATACTGAATGACATTAAAAATTAATTATATTATACATAATGTATTCAATTAATTTAGTTAATTATAGCTAAAAAATTATAATAATAGATTTATAATGTTGCCAGTATTATTTAGCAATTTTTTATCTGTCATAAAGTTTTGGAACGAAGTTCCTTATTTTGTTATATATTGTGTACATTTTGTTATAAATAAAATCTTGAAAATTTTACTCAAATAATAAAAGCTTTATACATACCTGAAGACGAAATCTTCTTCATCTCATCTATTTTCATCTTAGTTAAGAAGATTTTGCAGCGAGGATTGCTGGATGGTAATGGCTTCCTTCTGTGAGGAACTGATTGCTGTAGAGGAGCCCAGGGGAAGAAACAGCGAGAGTGGAAAGAAGGAGAAGAGATTACTCCTGCCTTTTAGGTCTGATGAAGCGATCCTATTATATCCCACTATGGCGATTATATACCGTTGTTTATAGTGGATAAAAGTCTGGCATTTGGAGTTAATTCGGATGCTTTCTGGAGGCCCCATAGGAACACCACAGTCACTAAACTTAGCCCTTTGCTTGTATGTAGCAATGAATGAATGTATGAATGAAAAAAGCAAGGTTTTCTCAACGTCATCGGGTTTTAAATTTTTCAAGAACTCCTTTCTTAATTTGATCACTGTGACAAACTAACTACACACAAAGTCACTATAAACAGTTTTAGTCATTCACGGTTTATCTAAATTACGCACTTGCACTATAAAGTAGTCAACATGTATATAGTTCACACAGTGTGTATCTAATCTATTTTCTGATTTTTTATAATATGTTTAAATGTTCAACGTAAATAAAACACTATGGATTATACACACAACTCCACTTTTACGGAGATATGGTGTCGAAACAAACTTAACTGATAACAAAACAACACTGAAATTATAAATACGCGGCTACTCTCAAAAAGTCATAAAAACTGCATACAAGAAACTAAAATTGATTGATGAACACAGATAGTAGATGCTACGAAAAATATCAATACTAAAATTTTGTAGGTATATGTAATATAATGAATTATTTTATGTTCAAATCAAATATTTTAACTAAGAACATTGTTTTAACATTTATTTTATTTTAGGTATAACTATTCGCTCTCATTATTTAGTCTGCGACTTTTTGTGTCATCGATGTATTGCAGGTTGTCACGTCACAATTGTCGATTTTAAACTTCGTCAAACATATTTCAACTGAGCGTTGTAAATTAAATATATTGATTTTAAAATATCTATATTGTGAACGACATAAATAAAATGGTTCACACTAATTTAGAAGGATCTTTGTTTGTAAGTATAACACTTAGATAACAATATTTCTGCAGAATATATTCTTATTTGTGTTGCATTCATGTGCGCCGACGAAATCTTATTTTAAAACTTTTATTATAATTATAATTTTATGTATTATATTTATATAACAGAACACTTGTATAGGTGATATATAGTAATATAGTTATAACAGTTTTTATATATCGATATTGTATATTGTCATAAGATACTTCCACAATAAAAAAAACGATAGATGCATAACATTGAGTTCTTGACCACTTGATCAAATTGGTATAACAATCAAACAACTAAAGAAATAAATATTTAATGTGAGATTACTTGATTTTACAAGAATTTATGAAATAAAAGGTAAAAAACAAAAAAATATAATATTCCTAAGTTAATCCTAGATTGCGTCTCATCCATTCTACATGACGCTGGCAGAATATAATGTGCACGTCTTAACACAGATGAAGGTTATATTTAAAACAACCTACCAAAAATGTATACTAATTTATAAAACAACCAATTCCAGGAACCAACGCTATACATCGTCAAAGGCATGTGTATACTTGACAATGAAGGCAACAGAATCCTCGCCAAGTACTACGATAAAGATATTCTACCGACACCCAAAGAACAGAAGGCATTCGAAAAGAACTTGTTCAACAAAACCCACAGGTAATGAACATGTATGTATTCAATAATAACTTCACTCGACATAATGACAGATAAATAATCGGGAATAGTGCAAATCTGCATAACTAGCATTGGATAATTCCGTGTATCTGCATTGGATGCAGATCAAAAGAAAGTTTGAGCTGAAATATTATCTATAGTAATGACTTTTAAGGTTTTCACAATGAGTAATAAATTATACACTATAATTACTAATAGTGAAAACTTTAAAGTTTGTTAATACAGAAAATATTTCAGCACAAACTTTCTTCTGATCTGCTTCCAATGTAGATACATGGAATTAACCTATGGTAGTCACTCGGATTTGCACTATCCCTGACGATATACAACACAATATGCAAGCTTCATTATCCTATTTTAACAGCATTTCACTCTTTCTGTACTAATCATACTTAATTCATTAGATATGGACTTTTTAATTTATGTAAAAACTGTCTTATTATTTGTAATTAAATACATACTTTTCTCTAAAATTTTTTTTGAGCCCATATATAATACATATACATATCTGTGTGTGTGTTTGTGGTTGTGTATGTATGTATGATCACTCAATGTAACAAAATATACCCAATATATTGTTAATAATATGGATTGGGTTAATTTACTTTCCTTGTTATGATGCAACATTGTATGAACTTTCAATATTTGCAAGTAATAAGTAATAAAAAGTATTCCTTATACTTATAATCTTCTCTTTACCAGATATATATTTATAAAAATTAGAAGAAACACAACAATATTTTGGGTTCGGCCAAAGATTGCAAAAAATAACCAATTTTATGAAACATTTAAAGTTTAAGTATAGTAAAGTAAAGTGATTATATTTTCCGAATGAGTTGTTTAATTACTTCATATAAATGTTGTTCTGTATATTAATTATTTTACAATAGATTTTATACATAAAGTTTAGTATAGGTAATGATTTATAAGTTAGAACATTTAAAAAATGTTACCTTATCCTTAATTAAGTCTATGTATATATACATATATATTTTATAATATTTACTCTACTCTTTCTACCCTATGTAAATTTATTAAATGTATGTGTACTTGATTGTTTGTATGTATACTAATGTATTAGACAGAAACTTCAAAGCCTCTGAATAAAATGTTCTTTTAATTTGACCTTATATAAATGAAACTAATATTTTTTCGGATGTACAACACGATTTTTATCAAAAACTATATACTCCTGACATTTCGGTTACTTTACAGCAACCATGAAAATATTAGTTTCATTTAAATGAATATATACTCGAGAAAATGTAAGATCTCAATGACTAATATATATAAATATTTTAATTATATGATAATAATTCCAGGGCCAATGCTGAAATCATTATGTTAGACGGCCTTACATGTGTATACAAGAGCAATGTGGACTTATTCTTCTATGTTATGGGAAGTTCACATGAGAATGAGGTATGTATAAGTCAAATATTACTAGATATTACTGAATTATATTATTAAGTCAGTGGTGGCCTAGTGGATAAAAGGCCCGCCTCTCATGCACGAGGGCGCGGGTTCGTTCCTGGCCCGAGCAAGTACCTATGCGATTTTTCCGAGTCATATGTACTTTCTAAGAGTATTTTAGAAATCACTGATTAATGCATTCCCAAAGAGGGTTGATGTAGGGCAGGCGGCCGGTCGTAAAAACAATTAGCCAAAACTATTCACAACATCTAAGGTAGACCCTGGCTACAGCTGGGAAATTGCCAGGAAGAAGAAGATTACTGAATTACATTACTAAATATTACCAAGAAATCCCATTAAGATATTGAATATTTCATACCCAAGATATATTCTATTAGCTTTCCGCCCGCAGCTTCGCCCGTGTCAAGTTCTTTTATATCGCGTTTCCAAGAGAACTTTTCAAAAGTCTGGGATAAAAATTATTCTATGTTCTTTCTCAAGGTCAACTCTATCTCTGTACCAAATTTCATTAAAATCAGTTTAAGCGTGAAAGCGTAACAGACAGACAGACAGAGTTACTTTCGCATTTATAATATTAGTAGGGATAGAGAACATTTTTCTTTGAATTTTTTTAATAACCATACAAATTACTGTACCCATTTTGATTTAATTGTACAATTGTATAGTATAATATGATTTTTTTTCAGTTATTACTCCAATCAGTTCTAAACTCACTATATGAGTCAGTCAGTATACTTCTTCGTCGGAATGTTGAGAAAAGAGTTCTCATGGACAATTTGGATGCAGTGATGCTCGCATTCGATGAGATCTGTGATGGCGGGTGAGTCTCTAATTTTATGATCCAATGAGAACAGATAGAAAGTGTAAACAAACTCATTATAATTATTAAAATAACAGTAGTAATATACAGTGCAACCTTAATATAACGTACCTCAATATAACGAATTCCTCGATTGAACCAATTTTTCGTAATCCCCTTGAATTGTCCATACGATTCAATATAAAATATACCTTTACATTCATTTCGAACAACCTCTTTATAACGAATTTTCAACTATCAAGAACAAGTATTCATACCTCTAATTAACGAATTTTGTCAACCCAAAACCTTTATATAAAGTTGCCACCAATAATATAACTCTTAATCTTATATTGCAATTCAAGTCTCGACACGCTTTTGTTCGTAAAGTAATCGTTGTTGTTTGATGAAAAGTAATGTAAACACGTTCTGCTCGTCACTATTGTTAAAGTTTTAAGTTAAAATGGCTCAGAAGCGTGAAAGGTGTTCCTTATCGGTCGCAGAAAAACGAAACATCATTAATTATGTTTACCAAAATCCTATGACGAAGAAATTAGACATAGCTAATGAGTTCGGAACTCCCGCAAGTACATTGACTACAATTTTAAAATTTAAAGATAAGTTTTCAGAATAAATTAGTTTGAATGTAAACAGTAGTAATTTGATAAAAATGTGTTATCATTTATTAGTAGAAGTTGTTCGCTATAACAAGATATTTACGTAATGCTGAGGTAAATAAAACTACGTTAATTTTACCTTTTTATAACGAATTTTAGACCAACCTTACTTCAACATAACAAACCTCAGTTCAACGAATTACTTGATATAAAGAATATTTTCTTGTTCCTCTCCGATGTGTTGTATCAAGTTTGCACTGTATTAACAAAACTATGTATTAATATAGTATAACGATATTTTTCCTTTTATTTTCTTTTATTTGTTGGTATGAATTTATAAGGTTCTACATATAAAACATAATTCTATAGGTCTATTAACCACAGTATAACTTAATTGATTATAGTAAGAGTATTTCTCTTTTAACATATATATCTGTAGTATAAGTAACACTATAATATAATAATATGTCTTTATAATAATAGCAATACATAGAAATTGTATCACTCACATGTATGTACATAGTCATAAATTATTATGTTAATTCAAAAACATATTGTTGGGGTCATATAAATTATAGAAAAGATTTCTAATTTAACACATACTTGTATGAAAATTGTAATAGAAAATATTGATTTTTAAAGTGATTAAAATTTAATATATTAAATATTGTTAATTGAATCTTTCATGTGCCTATACAACTATAAAAATTCAATATGTTTGTTTATACAGGGTGATTCTTGACTCAGACCCGAGCTCCATAGTTGGCAGAGCTGCCTTGAGAGGTGAAGATGTGCCGCTCGGAGAACAGACAGTTGTTCAGGTAATGCAACGGGTCAATGACCTGTTTTGGTAACCCAGTATTGTACACATATGTACAAGTATAAAATATCGTCGGGGATAGTGCAAATAAGAGTATCTACATTGGAAGCAGATTATAAACAGAAACTTTGAGGTGAAATATTTTCTTAATTAACGAATTTTAAGGGAAATTTTTAAAAATTAGTAATGAATTAAACACTAAATAATTACTGATTGTAAAAAAATTACCTTAATCTAGAAACTTGCTTGCTTCCAATGTAGATAGAATAGAATAGAATTATACAATGCTAGTTACGCGGATTTGCACTATCCGCGACAATGTGGTTTAAAAAGTAATTGGATTACAAATTCATATATATGTATATATACAGGGTGTTCTAAAAACTGTGTCAACCCTTGAAGGCATGTATACATATAAGTATAAGCTTATTATAAAAAATAGTATAACTTAAAAAATATCAAGCAGAGATCAGTTACAGTGCGTAGGCTAAATAAGTTTATACTGATAACGCAGTTAAGAGGGTTGACACAGTTTTAGAACATCCTGTATTTTACTGAAATCATTCTTCACTTGTGGTGTGACAGCGATCAAATTATTTTCATCATGTATTGCTAGTTGAAAATAATCACTTTTTTTATTTCAATGAATAGCTAACCAGACATTAATATCTACATAATTTAAGGTTTTATATGACAATATATAAGACTTATTTGTTTAATGAACGTAAATTAGGTTTTATGTGAAGTAATTTGTTATTTTTGTTTTGTATGTCTTGCTATATTTTTCATCACAAAAAGCTTTTTATATTTTACGCTTGTTGTCTTCTTTATTGTAATATAAAGAATAGTTTTTAATATTATTAATGTAGTTCGAATTTAATTTGAACTACTATAGTATAAAAAACTTTTTTAATCTATATTATATACATAGAAATAGCTATATAGTGCCATGGGTATATAATGCTATGTATACACAAATACATATAAAGGTATATGTATATATATATTTGAATGTTTCATATTTTTTGTTCACGCTTCTGTCTGTCAAATTCATTGTTTAGTATCTCAGCACATAATATTTTTTTTATAAATTTCCATATTTCAGGTGCTATACAACTTAATGAATAACTATTAGTAGTGCAGGGAAAGGCGTTTAATAAAATTGATTTAATTGTTCGAAAACCATCGAGAATATATTTAATTTGACAGAAAAATGTTTTTGTGGGACCAAAAAGAATATTCTAGATGGTTTTCCAATTATTAGCGATTTTTAGTTTATCTTTTTGTCCGTTTATTTGTCATTAGTTACTGTAATATATAGTACATTAATTTATATTTTGGTTTTTATTTTACCCTTTCTGTTTCTTTTTTAATATCATATGGCTAATTTTTTTCAATTCCTTGTGAATTACTAAATCTTCATGTAAATAAAATCATTGTCTTTCATTAAGTAATATTTTACATTATATAATAGATTTTTTGTGGTGTTCTTAATGTATTTTAACAAAGTAATAGAGTTCAAAAATATTTTTTTTATCACAATACAGGTGAGATCCTGTTAATTCCAAAGAATAAAAGTAAATTATCAACCGATGTTAATTATATCAGACTTAGCGTTATCTTCGAAATTTTTACAACTCAAGTCTTGTCACAACTAATAATTTATTATAACTCGTTTTTATCCAAAAAATTGCTGAAAATAGGGCATAGATAAAAAATATATACATAATAAATCAAAAATCTTGATGTCAATGTCAAAATATGATAATATATTGACATTGTGCCTTAAAATAACTGCGATATGTAAAAGAAATTAGTTTATAATATTTGAAATTTATTATATATTAATGTGTTTATTATTTAGTTAATTTACATATATATTTGGTATATTTAATGATAGACGAATATATTTGTATTAAATGTTCACGATTTCTTCAACTAAATACCATTTATTAGGAGTAATAAAAGACATTATATTATGCGAGTAATGTAATAAGTTTTTTGTCTTTGAAGACTACATTTTAACTATACATTTATACTAAAATTCAAAATAGATTCAGTCATGAACACAATTATATACGAAGGGTAAACTTATTCTAATAGGTATAATTATTAATAAATTTTAAAAACATCAGTTCCAAAGCGAAAGTCTTGATAGCATAAGTAACATTACATAAATTCGTTCAATTACAATAATATAATAGAAATATAATTATTATATAAATATATTTTATATATTAATGGTAACTCTGTTTCAGGTATTACAATCAGCGAGGGAGCAACTCAAATGGTCGCTGCTGAAGTGATTTTATATATTTAATTATAACAAACACAAATAAACTTTGAATGCACCAAATATATAAATTTTTCATTCATATAACTACCTACCAAATAAATATCACATAGAGCATATATTAACATCAATAAGACAGATATACATGTATATATTAGACCGATTTTGGTATAGATTTAAAGATTAAATAGATGCATCCTAGGCTTTTCCACCAAACTCATCGGCTGTTGGCACTATATTCAGTTTGGATATAGGTTTGAAGGCGGGATTGTTTTTATCACCGAGAAGCTTGAACAATATGTTCTCCGATGTACCAATAAAACAACCGATTGACTGCAGACGCTGAAAAATAAATCAATAATAAGAAGAAACCTCTCATCATTCCATGTATTCATTCTGCATATGTCGGGTCCATCGTTGTAGTGAGAGGAGCTTCAACAGTGACTGTGACTTGTGACCCAGGTGTAGGTTTAAGGGACCCTATCTAACATGTTAAACGCTCACCTCCACCGTACAAGCTCCTATCTCTACATAACCAAATTTGTAGAGAATTACTTGTTCATAAAAATGTTGAAAATGCATGTATAATGAAAAATAAAATGCAAGAAATAAAAATTTGTACATGTAAAACAAATTTATTCAAATCAATTTTATTTACAAATTATTTAATAACAAAAATAAACATAAAATATAAAATTATATCGATACCAACATTATGATAAAATAAAACTAAAATTGCACAAAATAAAAGCATTTGAAGTCTTAAAACATGATGGAAATTCATATTTTAGCAGTTATATTAAAAAATGTGTCCAATGTAGGTTCTTTGTTCATTTTAGATATCGATTTAAATACGGGGTTCTCTTTGTCCTTTAGTAATTTGAACAAAACATTTTCGGCTGTTGTAACGAAGCAGCCGATAGATTGCATACGCTGTAACAAAACATGCAAGATGAAGGAAGAAAAATTGTGTTTTAACCAGGTTAAAAAACGGGAGGTATTGTATATAACCTCATATATGTGATATCTGTGACTATAGAACTATTTTTTGTGAATGTGTAGTTACTTTATATAATATTTTAGACCTATTTTGTAATATGAGTATTTAAATGTACAAATTATGAAGTTTTCTTTGAAAGAGACTTATTATGAGACATAATTTAATGACAATTTCTATAAAAGTTTATTACTTTCTAAATAATTTTTAACATATAAATTATTGTAAGTGTGACATAGGGAGCATAGCAAAAAAATGAAGCATTAAATTTTTGAAAAGATAAAATAAAGTAAAAAACATTCAAAAAGCAAGAATCAAATTATATGATGTGTGCATTATTCAATAACACACAATTAAAGTTAAATAGACTTGAAAATATATGAAATAATTGTATTAAATGATTAAATAAAATCTCACCTGCAGAGCGAGGCTTCTATCGAGTAGCGATCTTGAAGACACACCGTCGGCAACAACATGAACAGTTAAATCTTCATTAAGAAGATCGATCACTGTCTGCTCAATACATACATGTGCCTAAAAAACATAGTTAAGTACAATATTACCACTATAATAACATATTGAGAAATTTCTTTGAGATTAAAAAATAGACAAACTATTTGTTCTTTCATAAAAAGTCACATAAAAATTGATATTAAATATATTGATTATTGAACATCAACAAGTTGAAAGTTTGACCTCACCTCAATTCCAAATAGTACTACGGAACCCAAATTGGGTATATCAGATTTCAATTTAGCTTGTAGTTCTGGAGTGTACATGGAAAACTTAGTTTTTCCATACACTAGAGCGACCTTATCAGTGTTTATTTCCTTAGTTGTGTGTCCAAGGCCTCTTGGATATTGCTCGGAGACATACACTGGAATGTTGAAGTGCTTGGCTGCTTCCACCTTGAATATATGTATATATGGGTTGATTCATATGATAATTATGTTATTATATTGATTATTTTACTAATTTATTTTTCACTTAGATTTATACCGCATTAAACAAAATAATATCTCGTGAGTGTAATAAAAATAAATGCTAATGATTACTGTTATCTTGTTATGTAATATAGATACATACCATTTTATTCGCGACTTTAACAATTTCGGCGAAATGTTTTATGTGTGGTCTAAATGTTTCCTGGATGTCACATAGGAAAAACGCCGTCCTCTGCGCCTCTAACGCACCTAATTTAAGCACATTACGCGCCATTTTAACAAATAAATAGATTTATGTAAATGCACTAAATCAACAAGTAATTCTAGCGGCTGATATATTGATATTACAACTTTGACAAAACAATGACAATCTAGAGGTGTGTCTTGCAGACAGAAATCAATAAGTACTTAACGATTTAATGCATCTGTTAAATAGATAAAAAATAATAACTCCAATTTTAATAATTATTATATGAGAAAATATTAGAAATGTAGGCATAATTTAATAAAAAATTTACATATATATATTTAATAAAATTTTGAAATGAAATTATATTGCACGCCACAGCGCCTGGATAAATATCATGATTGTATTCAATATTTTTCATTTTGCTAATATTATCGAACAGGTGCTGTATATTTATAAAAAGTGAAAAGAAAAATTATAAATCTTTTTTATTTATTGTCATTATAACTATCTCTTCATAATTTTAAAAAGTTTTAACTTTTTTAAAAATATTTTGCTAGCAAAAGTGCATGTTATTACCTTTGTTGAAACTAATTTACTTATATTCGTTATATGTACATGATTTTAATAACTTTTTAATGAACTGTTCACAACTTTAACTATTATAAAATATAATTATAATCTTTCTGACTGTTTGCTTTTGTAGTTAAGATTTATATGCACAATTTATTTTAATATCCCCGTAAGTGCCATTACACTGCGGTCGCCAAGAGTTTAATTTTGTGATACCTATTTATTACTGTCATAATTAGTGACGTCATTTAATGCATTGAATGTGCAATATTCAATATTTTAAAACAAACGAATGATATTGTTACATATTTAAGTATAATTATTTTAAAGTTAAAGAGATTCGATAATAGTTGCCTTGTTTTTTCGTATCGCTACAAAAACAAATAAAATACTTGTTTGACATAAACTTGTAAGAGCGTAATTTAAGTTTTGATACTTTATTATTTACTAATTTTTTCTTCCATATCATAAATTTAGTGTAAGTTGGTATGTGTTTAATTTTTGATTACTCTTTAGATAAGTTATTAAAATATATTTAAAATTTTCTTATATCTTTTCGCTAGTTTAAAACTACTTTTGAAATTTCATTAGTGCTTTCAAAAATAAATTCTGTGCGGATGTACTTAGTTGTCAATATGGCGACTTATTTATTGATATTTAAACAGAAATATTATGTAAAATTAGAATAGTATATCTTTCATTAAATTTGTCATGTGTTGTTTTTGTAATCGACTATAATATTATGTATTTACGGATTTGTAGTTGATACATTTATATGTAACGCTAAAAGGGATATTGAAGAAGAAAGAGATAGAAAAATATTTAAACAAACATGCTTTCTCTGTCTTTTAATTGAACACAGCTGTTAAACAATGTATGGAGGAAGTTCAAAGATAAGAAAGAAATATATAAAATAAATCTAGGTAGCATTACTCAGATTATACAAATTGAATTATTCTTTATATATAATCGTTTTTCGATACCTAGAATACAAAAAAAGGATTTCTATCCCTAAGCTCTGAAAACTTTTAAAATCACCAGACGTATCATTAAAGGCGTCCAGCACGCAATTTCTCTTTAAAAACCTGTGCCCCAAATCTCTAATTTACCGAAAAAACTATATCATTCACGACCCTTTTATATTTTTTATTTATTTTTTTCGAGTTTCCGAACGCGTGACTTTTGACTGACTGTTTTGGCCTACGGCAATCTTCTATCCTAAACGCAACCGCAGAATTAAAAAAAAAAAACAAAGATGGCGCCCGACTCGTGCTTCGGCGGGAAGGGCTTTCGAAAAAAATGCTACTTTTACCTGTGTCGGTCGAAACAAATGTAATAATAGAGAAATGGACGATTTTAAGGATTTGTGTATATAATTGCTTTTATTGGTCGCGAATCCTTTTGCAAATTATACGACGGTGTTTAGCTTTGGTTCATTTCTTTAGGACGCCATAAAAAGTGTGTGGACTAACGAATGATTAACTTTTATTGATCTTATTTATAATTTAAAAAAAATCAAAAATTTAAGAAACTTTCCATTAAAAGTTTATAACATAATATATCATATCTTGTTTCCAAAAATATATCTGTCAAATATACTTAAAGCGACGTACATTAAAAACTAATGAGGACTAAATAAGAAGTCTCTTATTGTTACATTTATATCATAAAATGTATTTATCAAAGCTCTAACTAAGCCTCGTCAAATCATAGACGTTTCTGAACGTAAATCCAACAACGGAATACCAATATTACAGATGAAATCCATCGAATCATGGCGCCGGGGCGTGTCGGAACAAAAGCAAATGTCAGCGGCGCCGGGGCTTTTGGCTTTAGTTTTTTTTTATTACGCGGCAAATGTACTGTAATTTAATTAGTTAATGGTCTCACTATGGATGATTTTTAGATTATTTAATATTAATATAATATATTATTTTATATCATTATTATTGTATGGCTGAATATGTATATGATCGTTGTAATTATTAAAAATCGTAATATAATATTGTAAGGCGAAAAGCTAATATTTTTTTTAAACAATAAAAATATGATCGCTGCCGCCGACAATTAAGCTAGCCCTCTGGAATACGTAAAACATCAAATGACTGTAATTATAAACGATTTTATTATAAAAAATAAAAACTCACACACGCGCCGCGCCCTCGAGCTAAAGATGGCGCCACTGGGATTTGGAGGGAAAACTAATGACATTATAATATATTGTATATATGTATATGAAATATATTTAATATGTTCCTTAATGTTTATTAAATGAAAAAATATATATTATTATGAAAATATCGTTTTTAAAATATATGTAAAAGATTAATATGTTTTAAATTATGTAATTATTGCTTCATTTATAATATGTACTACATTTCTCAGTCAACTCTGCTTACATTTTTTAAGTAAGTTTATTATCCTATGTCGAAGAATTGAACTTACATTTCACTAAGACCTACACCATAAAATAATTGAAAAAAATCTATTTTATTTGATATTATTTTATCAAGAAGTTATTACTATCACATTTATAAATTCATTATTTCAATTATGACGTACGAATTTTGTCAAAAAGTTGATAAATATGGCAATAAATAAATGTTTTCTTTATTCTTCTTACATACTAAATAGTTAAACAAATGTATATTTTATTATTGTTCCGTTAAATACTTAGCAAAAAGTAATATTATTTTCTCTAATATCTTACTTAAATTTATAAATCACTTAACACAAGTTCGCCTCACTGCATACGTAGGTATAATTTCCCGTTTCTCATTCAATAAACTATATCAGTTAATGAATGAAATAATATTAACGTACGTCATGTAGTGTGAAAATTGAAACTAATGGTAAGATTACAGATATAAAGATTACATTAGTCGTTGTGGTAGACTTTGCTATACGATTCTTTTTTTTCATTGTTAGAATTTGTTATCAATTAACAATTATATTAGTTGACTATCTTTTGCTTCGAAATGCCAAGACTTGAAAGCATTTTAAGGTACTAGTATCTTATTCTGTTTCACGAGGAATCCCTTCGCTCTCACATATGAAGCGAGTATGTTTCACGCTAGTTATAAAGTATTGAAACACGTATTAAGGGTTAATAAACATTTGTTAAGATCGTTTAAGTAAAAATTGAGTTATAGTGTAAGTCTTATTAAGAAGAAATAGGATGATAAAAGAATTATATATATGTATATATATTTGAGTTTATTTCAGTCTTTAAGTACGTGAACATTAAGTTCTGCTCCTTTAAATATAAAGGTTAAAGTCCAATGATAGAAATTTTAGAATAAAATTATTTGTCACGCTTTTTTAAATATTGTATTTTTCCTGATATTGTATTATATTTTTGGTATAACAACATTAAATTTAATAAATATACGTATATACGGCAATATTACATTATTTATAATTAAGAATAGATAACAAATTGCTTTTAAAATAAAACATATTATTTGGATACTCTTAAAAAATCGATAACTTCACGTAAATGTAATTTTTAATTGTATTCATATCTAAAAAACTATTATAATGACTAAAATAAACAAGTATACGAAGAAGGCAATGAAATGTACTAGAAAATGAATATTTTTTGCTTGATGCATTTAAAAAAACCTAATTGACCCAACAGTCATTTGTTACATTGTAATAAACAGGATTAAAATATATTACTGAACTAGATAACTAAGTAATTTATGACTTAATATGTAAAAGTAAGAAAAACATCTTAATACAAACTGAATTTTAAATATATTTACTTAATACGTTGAAAAAAATAAGGATTTATTAAAAAAAAAGTAAAAATATCAAGTGTACAGTCTGCTTAAATGACTTGATAAAAGACGCCATAGTATAATTTTAATATGACAGCCACTCTGTACCTTTGGATTATCTGTTATTTTTTTTTCACGACGCCATTGTCCACTGTTTCATCAAAAGATTCCTGATAATTACATTGTAATTAAGTTTTTGTGCGTAACAGCGGATTACGACAATATATTTATCCTTATTTCATGAATTTTGTATGATAAAACAAATATTTGTAACGTTAAATAGATATGAAATATTACTAAGTACCGTTTCCCGCCAACATTCGACAGAAAAACAAAATGGCAGATTAAAATGTAATTAATCATAGTCAATTCAACGTCGGTTTTTTTGTTACACGAAAGTGTTTTGAACCATTGTTTGCTTTGTATATATATATATAATTTTTAACATATATATTAGTAATAAAATAAATCAAATACTCATACTAAAATATAACATAGATTATAAATATGAAACAATTAAAATTTTGATGATAGATAGAATAAAATTTAATCCAAAAGTTTAATGTATTATTTAACTGAAACGAGAGGAGTCGCGTTATATATACTAGTTAATTTTAACGGATTTCGATGTACGAGTAACTCGCGTAACGCCTTGTTCTTACTCTACTAATGATTCAGATACGAATCTACATTTTAACTGTTGTTTTATTTTAAATAAGCATTTAACTATTT